ATTATAACAATGCTCAATTGTCAGAATTTGGATAAAAAACTTTGACTATTGTTCATAACTATTATCTAAGTTATAACAATTTCCACTTATGCCTCCTTTTCTTCACTCTCAGCTATTTGAAATAAATAACTTTAACTTTCCTAGCCACAACAGTACAGGATCTAATAGTATGGATTTTACTAATATGTATGTACTAAAATAACTCGACAAAAAATTACTTTATCTTCAATAAGTATGCCGATAATATCTTACTTTTCTACAATGCATTTTTACCCTCTAAATATCTTTCTATCAACCATTTAATATTCAACTTGACAGCATTCCTATCACGAAGCTTCTATCCAAGTTAATATCGGATAGTGACAACCGCTTGCCTACAAATCACCTACTGACAAACAAACAGCGCAACACAAAACTCTATTTCAGCATCTAAGATTCATTTTATATTTTTATCAAGCGTTGCTCTGGCAAGTCAGTGTTGCCACCCACTCGCACGTTTTCGTCATCGCAACATGTCTTTGATCAGAGTTGATCATTTACCTCTTGGTAAGTTGTAATAAGCAATTTTTCTCTATGGTATGTAGCGCACGACATCTGTTTTGTCTTTACACATAGCTTGAAAGTATAGGGCCATTGTGAGTCAGTATGTGTAAAGACAAAACAGATGTCGTGCGCTACATACCATAGAGAAAAATTGCTTATTACAACTTACCAAGAGGTAAATGATCAACTCTGATCAAATACGTGTTGCGATGACGAAATTGTGCGGGCTGGTGGCAACATCGGCCTGCCAGAGCAACGTTTTTACAATTTATGTTAAGAAAGAAAATGCTTGAATGAAATTTCATTGCTATTTTTTTTTGTTGCTATGTGATCAGTAGATATGTTTCATCGCTACTGCGCGTAAGAAGAATAGTGGCACTTGGTCGACAGATATCCGTATTTTTCCTATGCATATGAATATTTTCTTTCATAAACATTCCACGCAAAGGAACATTAGTGTACAAATGAAGTTGAAGTGTGCGTTAGGTTTAACAGGCAAAAGAAAAATGGTATGTATAACATCATTTTTGTTCGTATAAACAATACGATACTTAAATGTAATATTTGATACGAGTAAACTGCAGGTTTTGATGGGTACCGATTGTATGTACACGAAAAGAATGCGAAATAGTGACGTTTTTCGTTCATTATAAAATGTTGTTCTGGCAAGTCTGTGTTGCCATTAACTCGCACATTTTCGTCATTGCAACATGTATTTGATCAGAGTTGATCCTTTACCTCTTGATAAGTTTGTAATAAGCAACTTTTCTTTACCAGTGTGTAGAGTACGGTATTTTGATGGTTTTTGCACGTTACATGCTAGAAAACCACGTCGTAAAAATGAAATGTGTGAGCACAGAAGAAATGTCGTACTTCACATACTGACGGGTAAAGTTGCTTATTACAATTTACCAAGAGGTAAATGATCAAATCTGATCAAATACATGTTGCAATGATGAAAGCGTGCTGGTTAGTGGCAACACTGACTTGCCAGAGCAACATTTCATTATAAAGAAAAAAAAGAAAATCTTGTTGAATGATTTGTTTTTGTTTTAATCATAGTGGTATCGTAAGAATCGCAATTATTGTGAATAAGACTGTTGTTGCATCGGAAAAGCATTGTACTGCGTTACATAGGCAAGAGAACGGTCGACAACTCTGATGAGTGACATCGAGTTAATGTCAAGCGGGTTGTAGTATGTGCATATACGGCGGAATGCTTGTGTTTTTGTCAACAATTATATTACAGTAGCTTCCAAATGAATAATAATGTTAACAGAAGCTGATTATCAAAATATTTATTTCAGTTTTGATTTTTTTCCATTTGATAATCATGTAATTGTATTGTAGAAAAATTTACATTTTGGAACTATCGACACATGGCTAAATTCGATAAGAAATATGTCAAAATGAACGATGTCAATAGTTTGTAGGAACATTACTCGAGAAAAGATGATGTGGCATGTGAAAAAATTTCTAGCACTTGTTAGCTTCAATGATGAAAATCAACTTTAAATATCTCTTTTCAAAGCTTTGAAAACCAACTTAGACTAGACCGTGTGCATGAGAGTGACAAAAATTTCGCACTAAGTCAATCCGGACTCCGGTCATATATCAGGGTGTTCGGAAATGATTTTTGTCCTTAAAAATCTTTGACAAGAGTTCGTAACACTTTTTGAACAGAACATCGTATTGAAAAAAAAACAGGGAGATCGGAAGAGTGTGACTAGGAATTCGGAAAGGCATGCTCATTACCATATGTGATATAGTGTCAGGAGATCGAGATGAACAAGACCGGGTGTTCGGAATAAAACTCTAAGGGTATTTTTTCATAGGAAAAGGTCTGAAGAACGTAGTGAAAGTGATCGAGAATTTATAATGCGATTTGTCAGAAAGCCATAACGGATTTGTTCTGATATCTGTAATGATTATAAAGAATTTTTTTTCTTTCTTATAATGAAGAATAGGATTCATTCATCTAGAATAATAAATCAACACATTTTTTCTTTCCAAAGTCATGGTGTTCATAATAAAAAGCATGTGCATGTAAGGAATCATAATGATAAATACAAGCACTTGTGTTATAGTAGTAACAACAATAGAAATATTGACTGCTTGAATCCATTAGGACGTTCTATGTGTACCATCTTATAAAAAATACTAGTGAGTCACTTAACATCTCTCAAAGAAGAGCAAACATGAACACAGTTTCGAACAATCTGTCTTTTTTCATTAACATTTCCCTGCAGTTTTTATTATGATCTCCAAACATTCATTATCTTATTTGCCTTAACTTTCATTACGATCTTCCGATCGCTCTTAATCCGAATTCCAGACAAATTTAAAGTCTTTATCTGTCAAACTCGACCATCGCTGTCCGTTACGATCTTCCAGACAAATTTCATTACGAAAGCCCTGTTTATATGTCATTGGAAATCATAATGAAAAGTTAGTGTGAAATGTCCCTTTCCCGTGAATGGGTGTGGATGTGCATGTGGGTATGGGTGTGTGGGTGTGGGTATCATTCCTCGCTTTACTCCCACCCACATGCATCCACATCCATACTCACATCCCAGCCACACCATACCCTTGTTGAAATAGTCATTCATTTTCTCCACTTAACAAGTAAAAACTTACAAAAAAAGAATTTTCAGTTACCCGATGAGTAATTGTTGACCTTTGTTTAGTAAATATCTTCCTCAAACGTCAAGTTATAAGTCTAAAAATTTTACCATTGTTTCTCCACTATACTTCCAACGTATTCTGAAAATTTCATACGATTTGCTTGTGCCTGGACCAAAATCGATTTTGACAAAAGATGGTAGTGGCCTTAAGTGTCTGAATACTTTTTGCAGTACATGTAATATCAATATAATTTTTGTTAGACAGATATTTTTTATTTAACATACTCACTGAAATGTTCTTGAATATTTTTGTTGTTGAATTTTAATGTTCTAATATGCATATGCGCTCTTTCTCTGAGATTTCGGTTTTAAAGAATAAAGTTTTTGTTGTCGTTGTCGTCACACGAATATATTATAATTTTTTTCTCTTGTAAAATCATTTATTGTGACAACTATATACAAAACAAAATGTTTGCGTTTATATCATCATTTTCTCTCTTCTGAATTCGTCCTTTTTTGAATATTAGACATGCAGTGAAGCTGAATTCACCAAACCTGAATATTCAGATTCACTCCATGTCTATTGTTCATTCCATATACAATTTCATTTTCTATGTTTTGATGAATGCAAAAATAAAATAACTTCTATATGTGAACTCTTTTAAGCTATTGCAAGATATATAGGTATTCAATGATGATATGATCTAATTTTAACAGATAGACACAATTTTATGAAGAACATTTGATCAATATATAGTAAAGTAAAAAAACTATCCAATTTTTATTAGATGACTGAGATGGACACATTATTTAAAATATGAACTCATGACAAATAAATGAGAGAATATTACTGTCGAAACTCAAATGGTTGAATCAATAATCTTTTAAGTAATTTTGCAACAGATGATGACTTCATTGCATAATGAAAACAATTATTTACATATTTGAACAATTCATTTCAATAATTATAGATAAAAAATGACGCCTCAAATATCCACTCTAGTTTGGATCATCAGCACTATGTTTGTTACAATTTATAGTTTACCAATTTTCAACTTAAATGATTCAAATATCATTAGTAATTTGATACAAAATAAAATGTAAGTCTTTACTTTATTCTAATAATAGGATATAGTGTTGTAGCGTATATAAATATTAGAAACAGAAGTTAGTATAAGACATTTTAAAAACTAGACATTCATTTGCGTCTACTTTCAGTCATGACTATTCAGAATATATTTTCTATGATATAGTTAAACATGGATGATTATGAAGAATTATTTTCATAAAACTTCAACTTCCTATTTAGAACGTCAACAGCTTATCGGAGCAACTTGGTTAGGTGTCACCACATTAGATGAAGCATTAGTCTTGCGTTTTAAGCTCTCACAAAACATACCCATTCTTGTTCTTGGTTATGTTGCTTCAGAACATGTATCATTGGCTGGTTGATTTAATATAACACTGACGGGTATTGCACTTGAATGGAAACAAGAAACTGCTCGACTTGTTCAATAACCATTTAATTTTCATCTCAAATTGGATACAGATCTTAATTGACTTGGCTTTAGAAAAATAGAAGAAGTACGAACTGTAGTGAAAATGATTTATCTAAATCCAAATTTGAATTGTACAGGGGTTTTTACACATTTTGCTACTTCTGAAGATATACAAAACAAGAGCTATTTTCATCGACAACTAACAAGTTTCTATGAATTTCTCGATCTTATTCCAAATCGTACCGACAAAATTATTCATTGTGCAAACTCTGATGGTACTTTATATCATCCTGAAAAACCTTTCTTTAATATAGTTGGATGGTGAAAAGCATTGATGGGTCCATCAAATGAAGCATTAAAACATTTACTGCCATTTGAGCTTCAACATACACTCTCGCTTCATTCTATCTTAGATTTTGTGAAACAATTAGATGCTAATGAGAAAATCGGTTATGAAGGTGAATATGTCATCAGAGAAAGTCAGTGGATTGGTACTGTACCCATTGAATATGTTGATGAATGGCATCAACAATTTAAAACTAGTCATGTTCTCGTAGATGAAAGACGAGTACCCATTGTAGGTTGTATCTCTATGGACCAATTGATGATAGCTTTACCTGAGAAATATTCTGTCGGAACTCGTGTAACTTTTATCGGTCGACAAGGTAATGAGACAATAGTTGGAGATGAAATTGCACAAAAAGCAAATCAACCAAGATCAGAAGTATTTTCTTCTCTTTCAAGTCATGTTCCACGTATATATATACAAGATGGATCGATTATCAGCATCAGAAATCCGATGTTAGAATCGTAAAATATACAATAAACTGTTATTGCTTTTTGTCTTTTGAAAAGAAAAATATAAAACATGTGTGAAAGACTTGAAATATGATTGTTTACTTCTTTGAACTATTTTTTAAAATGTTACTTACAATATATAAAAAATAAATCTACTAAAGATATATTTTTCGCTTTATCTATGAAGATAAGAATGACATCAGAAATGAAAATATGAGTCAAGTTGTAAACATATGTATGTTTCATTTCTTTTAAATACAATCACATGCCCGTTTAAAAACACATTTTTACATCAAGAATCATAAGTACATGTTAATTTTCACCTACTAACTAATAATATATAATGTGGCTTGTGACTCAAATCTTCTTGTGGATCATCTCGTTTGTAGCTACTGTTAACTGTCAAGGAGGAGGAGGTGGCGGTGGTGGGGGCGCTATTGGAGGCATTTTCGGTAATTATGACACAAAGAATAGTTTTTATATAGCTTTTCTTATTAGAATAACTCAATAATTTGAACTTTTTGAACTGCTCTCTTTGATAAATTGTTTTAGGTGGTCTCTTTTTGATTGTATTTTTGCCTGCATACTGTTGTTATCAATGTTGCGCTGGTAAACCATGGCGATCTAATGTAAAATTTGTTAATAAAACAATGACGAATGATGAAGAAAAACAAATAATTGACATACAACTTTTTCAGTCAGGTTATTGGAAGAGTCAATACTTTCAATATAACACATGGCATGGACCTCATCAAATTGAACTCTCATTCGATGCTCTACAATCAAAAGTAACAGGATCAGGATTAGATGATATTGGTATGTATTCTATCGAAGGTATCTATTCGACACAGACTCGTCGTATGGGTCTAACAAAGAAATATCAACTTGGTACAGGAAATCCATTGGAAAACTTAGGACATTGTGTTACTATTCAACTTGAATGGAACAAATATAGTAATCAATTCGAAGGTAAATGGTATGTACGAACGAAGAAGTATAAAGACTCTGGTGATTTTAAAATGAACTTCGACCAACGAAATCAACAATTATCATTTGTACCGATATATGAAAAAGTATAAATGACTTTTTTTTTCTGTAACTATCTAGTTGAAATATATTAAATG